TATATATATATATATATATATATATATATATATAGATATATATACTCTTGAAATACGCAACAGACAACTAAGTAGTGATTGGGACTTGGGACCCATTTTCTCGATTGGACGCTCTACAGTATTGAAGGGTCTAGATGAATCAAGAACGGCTAAAAACTAACATGTGCCTAGAGCCCATGATCATTTCCTTCAAATAAAAAGAAAGGTCCTCATGTTGTGATCTCATGGTTTAAGTGGTCATTAGTACCATCAATGTACAGTGAAAGAAAGAATGGGACCCGCCATCAAGTCATGTAAGGCTTCTGAGGAGTACCACTTCTTTTTTTTTTTTTTTAGCACCCTGCAATCTCCAGTGAATGGTGATGATCATCATGACCACATTTCCTGCGTACTAGTGAGGATTACAATATGTATTTTGGCTTTCTGTAAATTTTCAATATGAATTTGCATTTAACTGTTGACCGCATTAACTGATTTCCCTCACACAGAGACCTATGAAGCCATACACGTGCCAGGTGTTTGGCATGGGTGCGAGGACATGTGCTGGGAATATGTTGGCCAGGACACAGCTCTCACTATTCCTTCACCATTTATGTCTTAGCTACAAGTAAGTTTTCGTGCTTCCTATACATCTAGAGCAAAAGCCTTTACCCACCAAAGGCTGCTGTCACCTATAGTCATTAGATGTGAAACCGGGAACTTTATTATCAAAAATAAAACGATGATTTATGTACGGATCCTAAAATTTTAAGTATTATAGCTCGAAATTATAAAAAACATCGACCAACCAACATTTTTTTTATTTTTTCAAAATTGGCCCTAAATCAACTTGAATTTTGATTTTTTTTTTAGTTTTTTTTGTTAATGGGGTTGTTCCCCAAGCTTTAAGACACTGCCTTACTAATGAAAAAACTAAAAAAAAATCAAAATCAAAATTATGGTTCACCTAGGGGCAGTTTTGGAATTTTTTTTAAGAAAACGTGTTGACCGACCGACCTTCTTTGTAATTTCTACATGTAAATGGAGTATTTCGTATTGTATCTAAAATTTTAAAATCCGTACTTATATCTCTAAAAAAAATATATAAAACCGAGGTCTTAATTGTATGTCATTGATTGGGTTTAGAGTTTTAAATTTTTTTTTTTAAAGTTTTTTATATATTCTTATATCTGACAACTATGGTGATTGTAACCTTGTGCTAGAGATCAATGGTGTTACTATTTAGTTATAAATTTTTTACTTAATTCTCGATTCAGAAGAGCACTTTTAATGATGCATTATGTTCGTTTTTATTTTTTCTTTTTTTTTTCATCTAACCAGGAATTGAGTAGAAACATTTACAAAAAGAATTCAGACAAGAACGTTAACCTTTACATATTTCGTGGAGTATGAAAATTTTCTGGAGAGAGGAGATAACACGGACAATATGAGAGAGAGAGAGAGAGAGGGGGGGGAATCATTTTTAATGCATTTGACCATAGTATATATTTCCCTCTGCAGGTTTTTTTTTGTTTTCTTATCTTTTCTAATGAAGGGTTTTCTTATCGTTTCTAATGGAGGTTTTTTTTTATGATTTAGGTGGGAGCTCGTCAATCCAAACGCTAAGATAAGCTACATGCCACATCCAAGAACCGACGATGGAGCCCAACTCAAGTTCTGTGCCATTTAACATGTTTTTATAGGATCTCATGTCTTTTTTTAAATTTTTTGGGTAATTCAGTAGGGAAGATAAGTCCCTATCTGGTTTTTCAAGTAGATTAGGAGTTAATTTTTTTTAAGGTATTAGTGGGGTGGTGTTAGGGGTGAGAATAGAAACACAATGTGGCAACTAAGGTGTGGGGTGCTACCACCACGACTCTAGCCAATTTCCATAGGACCTCATGTCTTGATGCTTATCCACTCGGCCTCGCATCCTAAGTCGTAGACTGGTAGTTGATGTTGTATGCTCCATAGACTCTTGTGATGCACACTCTGAAAATCTACTAAAAAAAGTTATTTATGATGTTGGAAACTCTTCAATTGATAATCTCAACCTTGAGACCTATGAATACAAAGAAAAAATATTTTAGGCCTTGGAAATAGTGCATTACATTATCAGACGTGTGCATTACTTTGATTGTTTAGAGGGAAAGCTTCCTATGTGCCTCTGCCTCTAGAAAGATTATAGATACCCTTCCTCTCCTAACTATTTGATCTAATGCATGAATGGGATTAGCTTCAATTTCTGACCGTCTGATCATAATCGGATGACTTTGAGTATTTTATTCTTTGTATTATTATAAATCAGCTTCACATGAAATTTGGGGCAAGAGTACATCATTATAAAATAAAATGACCAAAATGCCTTTTTAACTTGTTAGGCTATTTTGGTCCATTTATTTATGAACTTTTTCGTTAGGTGTAACTTTGTAAGGAATAGGCATGCCCAAAATTTCATTTCAAAGATGGTATGTAAGAGTAAAAATAAAACAATGTCAGGCGCGACATTAAACCTATCCTAATTATCTATCAAGATCAAACAACTAGAAAGAGAGCCCTACATGATGTTCCTATGGAGGACATATATAAAGCCTTCCATAAGGAAAAGAGGCATATATAATTCCTCACGTATATGGTTATCACCATACAAATAATGAGATTTCACCGTTCAAGGCGTCTGATGTTTTGGTGGATCTTGATGAACCCGGTGGCCGCATATGCTACGTGGTCAAGAGAATTGAAATGCATTTTCTTAAAGAAGAGCTTGCAGATGACATTACATAGAGACTATCATTCAGGTATGTGCTTTCATCGTCTGAGACCCGCAGATGGAGCCCAACTCAAGTTCAATGCTCTTTCACTTGTTTTCACAAGCTATGTGAAGAGACTCAAAGTAATTAATCAGGTCTTTTAAGTTTCCTCCACTAATTTGTGCTCAACTGGAATAATTAATGCACAATAAGATACTAGATTGGACCATTTACTTTTGGTAACTCTATTGGTTAGTTGTGAAATCTAACAGTGGGGTGTGCCATATAGTTCACGAATTTTTATTTGGCCACTGAGCCCATCAATGGCGGATCTTCATCGGCCGATTTCTCTTCGAATAATAGAAATAATTTTGTTCTAGTTCAACGAAAAGTAAATGGTCTTTGTTGGTTATTGTGCATTTTTCTTACTTCTTTTCTTGTGTTTGTCATTATGGTGAGAAAAAGATGTTCTTACGTAGGCACATGAATTACTGAAGAAAGCCTTCCAATTATCTTACACTAATTTATATTTGCCTTGAAACACCGTTCAAAATCCTTTTATCTACTATACCCCAAGGGTAGATAGGTGAGGATCCACCTCCTTTTCAAATTTGCTGTGATTAGGTATGGTGAAATCTAGACTTTCACCAAACTAAGCCTTGGAGTCGAGTGCTTCAAGCTGATATGGTTTGGATTCAATATCAGCCTTTGATTTCACCTCCTCGTCCCAATTCGTGACCGTATCTTTGTACCGGTACCACTTCGCGCATACCATGAAATACACCAAGTTCACCACACCCATTCCCGCGATAAAATAGTAGAAGAGGTCGAGCCTACCGAGGTTTAGGTTGTTTTCCAACCAGTTCGGATGGCCATTCTTTCCTGTGTACCTGTGAATAATGTTCACTATAAAACTGCTCAAGAAGTTGGCAAAAGCCATGGTGCAAAAGAACAGGGAACCTGCTAAGCTCCTCATGTTCTCAGGAAACTCCCTGTAGTAGAACTCTATCTGACCGATCGCATTGAAGGCCTCTGCAAGGCCACTCAGAACAAACTGAGGCACGAGCCACAGAGCCGACATGGCAGCAAGTCCGTCAGGCAAGGGATGTGTCAAGGCCGAGCTACGGCGATGAGACTCAACAATAGCAGCTGCCAGCATAGATATGATTGATATGAAGAGGCCAATTCCCATACGCTGGAGAAGAGTAATGCCGGTTTCTTTCATTGTGATGGGCCGGAGGGCGGGAACAATTACTCTGTCATAAATCGGGATCCAGAAGGTGAGGGTCAGCATAGCAAACACAGTAAGTGAACCGGGTGGAATTTTAAAATTGGGACCAATGTGCCGGTCCATCTTCGTTGCCTGGTTGATTGAGAAAGTGCCCATTTGGACCACTGCAGTGAAGCATATTACACCAGAGGCCCATACAGGGGCAACTCGCAGTAAGCACTTGGCCTCCTCTACTTGTTGAACCGGACAGAGGCGCCATGGATCGACAGGTGAGCCGTCAGGGTTCAGTTCATCGGCATCTGTAATTATTGCGGCCTTCGAGAGGAATCTAGACAAATGCAAGAAAACCAGTTATGCAACTAGAACTTCATATAAAAGTGACAGAAAATGAGGATTCGATGAAAATCTAATAACAAATTTGGCTCCCAAAACCAAAAGTTAATTAGAATTGGGGGATACTGTAATTGGGTTATTGATATTCAAATGACAACATTTTTATTTCAATTTTAATTTATAGGGTTGTTAAACTTGAATTTATTTTATATCAATTTAGCGGGAACACTTCAATTGATCACTACCAAAGATAACAAAAAATTATGTGGATTTATACAAATTTTGTATATTAGCTTAGAATTCAATGTGGCCTAATGTTCAAACGGCAGCATGGATTTTGCAATCTTATTGTATTTTATCCATTGACCATGAAGTCAAGAAATTTTCGTGCCAAGAAAAATGTAATATTATGTTATGGTCTATATTTTGAGACATATAAGATTGAGATTTTACTTTTTTATTTTTATTTTTTTCAAACTACTTATGAAAGGTGGGCAGTTTATTATGAAAAAGTATACAAAGATGTAGTTTAGAAAGTTTTGGCAAAATTTTATGTTGGCTTCCTATCTAACACAACCCTTTTCCATTACCCACGCATGGGACGAGTTAAGAAAAAGTTTAAGGTCTTCACCCTGCTTACTTGGGCTTGGCTGACCAAGCTATTTAACAAGGTGCTGATAACAAAGAAAATTCCCGATGAATGGAGAAAAAATATTGTGGTAGCTATTTACAAGAATAAAAGAGACACACAAAAATGTGCGAACTATCAATGGATCAAACTTATGAGCTATGATATGAAGTTATGAGAGAGAGTAATTGAGTAATGACTAAGGCATGAAACGAGCATATAAAAAAACCAATTTAGTTTTATGCAAGGGAGGTCAACAATTGACGCTATTTCTTACTTGGAAATAGTTCATATGAGGATGCAACTTCATAATGTAGAACTACGGATGCACCTCAATAATCCATCGGAAAAGGTAGTTTTAATGTTGAAAAACGCTTTGATTGATCATCTCGACATCGAGATGTATGACCATGAAAAAAAAAAAAAAATTACGGCTCAAAAATAGTGCCTTTTACAACATATTATCTACACCGTCCATTTTCAATATTCCATATGTTTATAGATCTACTTGATTTTAACTATTTTTGAAATTTAAAATTTTATAATTAGATATAAAAATAGATTTTGATATAATCCTAAGAACATTTTACATCAAAATTATATATCATGATAAAATTTGAAGGTGCACCTTACCTCTATAGTTACTGATGCTTCCGTATGCCAACTGCACCCTTCTTACTTAGGCAATTAATTGAGAAATTGAGGGTAAAAAGAAAAGAATTCCACATGACCTAAAAAAGCCTATAATAGAGTACCTCGATATTTAATATCGTGGGTATTGGAAAATAAAGAAGTCTCTAGATACGATAACGACTTGGTGAGAGATATGTACCACAGAGCACTAACCAGTGTGCGAAGAAGTAATGGATAGACGGATGAGTTTTCAGTGACAATAGGTCTCCATCAGGGGTCAGCAATGAGTCTATACCTTTTTGTTTTAGTTATAGACAACTTAGCTATGCAACTACAAGATGAGGTACCATGGTGTATGTTGTTTGCGGACGACATAAGTGATGAGATATGATAATGTAGACTTAGGTGGGTTAGACATGTGCAGTATAGACCTAACGCAACAATTATTAGGAGATGCGAGTTGGTTCAATAAGAAACCTAAAAAACGGCAAGGTGTAGACTCAAAAGGATATAGTTGGAAGTAGTGAGAAAAGATATTGGGACCTTGATAGAGCAGAATGACAGACTAGGATTTGTGTAACCGATCCCAAATAGTTGGGAAAAGGCTCTGATGATAATGATATAAAAAACCTATTTACTTTTGTATAATGATGTCACAATCACTTTGATTAGACTTAAAGTAAAGGATCGTAATCCGGTGCTGGTCCCACATACACAGGGTCCTGGGAGGGGTGAGATGGAGACGGTCCTAAGCTTACGCTTTTTATGCTCAAAGTGGCCACTCTCAGGACTCGAACGCGCACTCTTGTGCTGGTTACCCGAGTCTTTTACCGTCATACCAAGTAACAACCCCTTTTGACCAGACTTAAACTCCAAAAAAAAATTTATTTGAATTTCACGGCATACCCCAAACCATCCAATCTGACTTCTAATGACTATGAGTAATTGTGGCTTACCTTCTAATAAAGATAAATGGTCTCATAAGAGTCAATCCCATTTTATTATTTCGTATATTTCTAACTTATAGTAATTTATATCTTGATAGGTATTTTAAATTAGTTAAACTATATGGATAAAATGTTAAATAGTTAATCTCTCATATGTATTGTGATAAAATTCTCTTTGCTATTTCATGTTTTAACTGGGCTTTTGAAAGTTGTCATCCCAAAATACAAAAGAAATAAAAAAGTAATATATTCAGACAATTTGAAAGTCTGACTTTCAAACTGACCAAAACACATAAAAGTTATTGTATTTCGACAATTCGAAAATTCAATTTCTAGATTACGACAAACAAAAATTATTAAAAAAATAAAAACAATTAACCATTGGGCAGTTTGTAAGTTAGCCTTTCACCAAAATTTATCAATTTTTTAATATTTTGAGCTATTCAAAATTTAAACTTTTGAAACATAGTGAATGCATTAGAAAGATCTCAAAAAGATAGAATATAAAGATACTAGGTTCCAAAATATCGACCGATTATAACGCTAGGTCAACGGTCCTCTGGAAATCTCTTCCTGCAATATCAAATAAACAATTAATATGTCTTGTCTAGCAACGGGACAAAAATGTTTAGAGAGACTTTTGGTCACTTTGATTGGTCGCTAATTTTTCAAGGCCTCAACTGCTAGGGTTCAAAAAGACAAAAATCAACAAACCATCAAACTTCAATTCAATGATCAACTGCTAAAGTTCAAAACGACAAAATTCAACGAGCTATCAAACTTGAATTCAATCATCGAAGGACAAGCTTTCTACGTTTTTCCCACAACATATAACTTATATACTTCCCCTTAACCAACCGTCCATTCTAAATAGAAGGTTAAGATTACCCCAATTACAATGTCACATCTCTATATCATTTTATTTTTAATTTTTTTTTTAAATTATTTTGATACCAAATTTTGTACGTCCAATCCTCTATTGAACTTGCACTAGTGAAAAATATAAAAACAATATTTACAATAAAATAGAATGACAAAAATACCTTTAAAAGTTTTAAAAGGTATTTTGATTATTATATTTTATCAAAAATTTATTTTTAATATTTTTTTTAGGTGTGCCCCAATGAGAAGCTGGCACATACCAAATTTCATATTCATACAATTTGTATAAAAAAACTAAAAATAAAATACTTTGAGACGTCAGATTTAAGATCAAACGGTGAGTGACTCTCTTGATCAATGGTCGAAAAATGCGTTACCAAATACACTATTTTCAAAACTTGAAATCTATTTTTTTTTCTATGTCCATGCATCTTGATGTTGAGATGACCAATTTGAAGATATTTGGGCATCAAAACAGCTTTTTCTAGTAAAATTTTTGAGGTAGGCTCAAATTTGATTGTTTAGAGCCTTCGGCTCTATATAAACTTTTCCCAAAAAAATAATCACCATATCATTAAGAAAAGGGTCTGGTTTGTATAGATCCTAGGCTCTAAACAATCAAATTAGATCCTACCTTCAAATAGCGTCGAGAAATATGGTTTCAATATTGAAAATCTTTATAATAGCCTTAAAATATATTTTTATATTTATTTATAAAATTTAAAGCTTCAAAAATAGTGTAGATCGACATATCAATAAAAATTTGAAAATCTTAAAGATTGATAG